TCCACGAAGGCATCAAGGGCCTCGTGGTGACCTCACCAACCACACTCAGACGAGCCACTGCTGGCCCGTGTGTGAACTGCCCTCTTGTCTCTCCGGCGGCTTTGTTGGTGGGGTGTGTGCAGGAGGACACGTTGCTCGATCAAGGTCTCAAATACGGCGAAATCCACAACGCCACTCTGCCGCAGGTAAGCAGACACAGACACAAACACACATACACGTGGGCCCCTGTGTGTCTGTCAGCTGTTCAAGATGGCTTACGTGTGTGGTCTGTGGGAGGAGGCCGTCCAGCTGCACCGCGACCACATGAAGCGATGCAGACCCGCACCACTACCCCTCCCACCGTCTCCAGGCTGCGGCCCCACCGCACACCAGCGGCCCCCGCCATCCCCCTCACCCCCACCTAACCCCCAGGGAGCATGGCCACACCCACTGGTCGCCCAGAGCTATCCGCCGACTGCCGCAGTGCGCCTGCAGCCAACAGGGGGCCTCCCACCACCACAAGGGCCGCAATCGCCACAAGTGCCGCAGACGCTGGTGACACAGACACACACACACACACACACAGACACGACGACAGACAGAGATGGCCCTGTTGGGCGTATGTGAATGGGGGACATGTGTGTGTTTGTTTTTGTTCAGTGCTTCAAGCAGCTGCGAGGGCTGGATGACCTCAGCCGAGTGCTCAGGAGTCAGCTGCAGCTGGTGGACAAACAGAGGCAACAGGCATTCAACCTCTTCGCCACACCAAACAAGCCACAGGTATGCTGCATGCGCACTGGTCATCCCTCCTCTCATCCACACACGCGCTCATCCCTCTCTCTCTTTCTGTCTGTCTGTCTCTCTCTCTGTCTGTCTGTTTGTCAGGCGGTTGAGCAGAATCTGCGTGTGTGGCAGAGCCTGGTCGACAATCAAGCCACGAAGATCAGCCCAGCCGTCAAAGCTCTTACTTATCACTCAGCAAAGAAGATTCGCATGATACAGGCACTGCTGGAGACACCGGTGAGTGAGAACACACACAAGCGACAGACTCTGCTGACGATGCTGTCTCGTGAGTGCAGCATGAGCCCTGTTTGGAGGGCATTCCCGAAGTGCTCTGGTTCAGCGACAGCGATCGCACCGGCATCGGTACGCTGATATCGACCACACATGTCCAGATCGGCTCAGTCAATGTCTTTCCTTGACATTTCTGCTTTGTGTGGTCTGCAGGTGGTTATCTGGGCTTCGTTGAGTGCGTCAAGTCCCTCTCGGGTGTCAGCACGGCGATCGCGTCCATCGTCGGCAACCCCAAAATGCATCCCATTCTGCTCCTCGACAACACGACACGTCTCGCACGTCGCCCTCCACCCATACACAAAAAGTGGAAGGGTGAGCATAGCACAATAAAATCGACTCGTTGCCGATTACTTTCTCTGTGTCTCGGTGGCTGCCTCAGAGGTGCTTTCCCGCGCCAGCAGCATCCGCGTGTTGATCGAGGCCGACCCACGTGTCATCAGTGTCGCGCTGCTCGAGGCCGCCGCTCCCGCCGTCACTGAGATCACCGTCGACACGGCCGCCGAGCGCACGACACATCGCATAGAGATCGCCGGCCGCAATCCTGTGAGTATCCCGCGGCTCGTCAGGGCCGTCTTGACGCGTGAGTGGGTGAAGGTGATGCAGCGGCGGCGGCAGCACTGCGGGAAGCAGCTGTATGAGATGCCCGCTCTGACCCATCTGAGCGTCGAGTGGCCTTATCAGGGGGGGCTGACGATGCTCAAGGGGGTGACTGGCGGCCTGCGGTCGCTCCATCTCCTCGACAAGGTGGGTGCCGGGGGGTAATGTGGCCATGGGCGGGTGGACAGAACGTACGTGTTGTTGTGTTGACATTCCCTTGTAGGTGATAGCTGATGGACACCCTCCTGTGTACACGCCTCTTCACTTAGTTGCCGAATCGCTCGAGAGAACGCCCTCCAACTCTACCATCACGTCACTCACGGGCCATTTGCTTTGTTGGCCCAGAAGCTCCCCCAGCTAGCGGCCTGGAGTGCCTGACAATGGTGTTGTTGTCATCTTGGTACCGTCCATAATGTTCTGGAGCATCTCTGCCGAAATGGTGTGGCTTGACGCGGCTTCAGACATTGCGGCCTCAGTCAGCTGCAGAGATCGATGGCCGAGTGACTAAGTGAGCTGGTTCGCTTGCAACCGATAGGGGCGCCTGAGTGTGGCAGGGACGGAGAGAGCGACACGTAAGGATGGACAAGTGACTCACGTGCACACCATCAGTCACTGCTGCAGACACACAGACATAACACATGCATCTATCGATTTCAACGTGCACATCTCCCGGCATACCCCTGGAGTGCTCTTCCTCTCCCCTTGCCTAATCCCGTCTGCGAGCTAAGCTTGCAAAGCGGAAGCCGGACGAAGGTGCGTAGCAGGGCGTTTCCGCGATGGCGGAGGAGCCAAACAGGAGAAAAAAGCGACGTGTCGATGGTGCCGATGAAGATCTCCACGACAACGATGGAGATCTGCACAAGACCGCCACCTCGCCCCCTCCCGCCCTCCCCCTGCACATCGGCGACGCTGCATCCCCGAGTGCCCATATCTACTGCAGCCCCGAGGCGAACGAACCATCGTACCAGTCGAACAAGCGGCCTCTCACACCGCCCCTCACCCAATGCACTGACAGTGAGTGCCTGCTCGTGGATGTCGTATTTGAGGCCGTGTGGGCCTTTCCGCACACCGACGTCATCGAGGAGGTGGTGACAGAGCCGGGCAGTCTGTTTGTCGGTGACCGGAGATTCCATTTCGACAACGGGTCGGCAGAGACCTCTCATTTCGCTCACAGATGGTGTACGTTATCGTGTTGTGTGTGTGTGTGTTCAGTGGCG